CTTCTGTGATAGAATTTGCTTCTGTTCCCTGTAGACTCATTTTTGCAAGAAGCATCATACAGTTGTTATAGCTTTTTCTGCTTTTTTTTTTTGATATTACTGAAACGTCATAACAGGACGGGCACAGATTCTTAGTTCCTTCTCCTCCTCCTGTGCTGCTGTTTTTCGTACTTCACCTACATCATTTTATAGCATAAAATTATCATTTCGTTGATTAGCATCATTTCGCTTTATCATCTAGACATGTCATAATCCAGTAAGTTAAGCTGTACACGCAGCTACGGAAGGCTTTTTTAATACTTCAACATTAAACTGTTATAAATTTTGTTGATCCCTGCTGCAAATGAAAGTGGCGCTTCACTTATATGTTTTTCATTTTTCTCTCTCTTTTGTTTTTATCTCAATTCAATTTCATGGCGGAATAAGCTTGGGTAATATTGGTGCCTGTAATTTTTCAGCTCTTATCAGAAGTTAAACCGGAACGCATTGACGGTGATGATTTTTACGGAAGTTCCCCCATGCTTGGGACTGTTGTGGGTCCAGCCGTCGCTGTTGCTGCAAAAAAAGGTGGATGTGTTGCTGCGTGGTGTTGTCCTCGAATTGGCCCTGAATTCGAAATTTTTTGGGAAGCTATCGAATTTATGGCAACTGCAAGTAACGTGAGTTCATCTTTAGCATTTCGGGAAGCGTTTCTCACTTTTTTTAACGCACTTGAGCACTGCTGGAATAATTGCAGTATAGTTTTTTTTTAGTTTTTTACCCCTTTAATTAAGTTTCACTTTGCTTGAGCAATTTTTTTTTGCTCAGCAAAATTTTTTGTCTTCCTTTTGGCTAGTGAGAAAACTGTAGGAAAGGAGAGGGGAAGGAGGGGCGCATTTGCGACTCTCCCCCGTTCAATTTTGTATTTTATATATATTTTTGTGGAGACAGGCTGTCATTAGTAAGAGGTTGTGTACATTTTAATAGCCATTACTGTGAGATGAGTGAATTTTTGCAGCAAATTTAATGTTTTGTTCAGTATTTTCTTCAGTTCTGTGCAGGATTTTGTATTCAACGTGACTTGGGTTGCGAAGTGCGGTAGTTACTAGATTTTTTATAAAACTTGATGAGTTGTGGCATAAAATTGTAAAGAACCTGTGTAGCATAAAATTAGTATTGAAAGGTCTTTTTTGACCAGAATTACTAAGACAGCGCAGATAATCGATATGAGGATCCGATTTTAGCTGAGTTACTGAGTTGCTTCCAGATGCCACGTAAAGCCCTTTTGATCCTGGGCAACATATCTCCAGTTAGTCACCACCGCCTTTTTGGAGAACTTCTTATCAATTTGACCCAGTTCGGTCGCCCCACTTGGACTGTGCACTTCTGATTGGGCCTTCTAATGGCCGTTACTTATCATTACACCATCGCTTTAGAAGCTGTTTTGTCGCTAGTACCACTCACTAATATGCGACCTCCAGTAGTTGTCAGCAGCTTTTCTTTTTGGTTTGTACTTTCTTCCATAGTTACAGTGATATTTTGCTCGCCACACATCTGACGGAGAGTCTGATTGCTTACATTATTGTGAAAGGGACATTCCACTCGTATTTTTCCCCAGTGTTGTCATTGTTGTGTTGACCTTTCGCTCTTTTTTTTTTCAGAGGGACCGAACGAATGACGTAAACGATGGGCGAAAAGTCCGCTTTAATGGTAACTGTAAGGTCCATTATTTTGATGGAGAAAATATCACCGAGAACGGCGTTCATCCTTTCCGCGAAATCACAGAAATGCAGAATCAGAATGTAATTCATATCAGTAACTTTCTTACATCGTGGCGATTTGGGGACTTTTAGAAGCACATGCCGAAAGCATCAAGCTGACTTGAGGTGTTCACAACTGCTAAAATCGATAAATCACAGGGAAATCCATTTTGTGTATAGCAACCTCTCCCCACCGTTCCGCTCCCCCCATCCCTCTCCCCTGGTAATGAATCTAGGAGCAAATCGGCTTTGATTGATTTGATCTTAAGTAATTCTGCGAAAACTGTTGCTTTTTTCTGACGCAGATGTCAGGCTGTTCAGTCCTTGCCTTAAAATTATTGAGAATTATGAAAGCAATCTTCAATTCGTATTTAAAAAATACAAATGAAACTGTGATACATTTTCTTTCGCTGCTTTTGCGCGGTTCATTGATTTGAAATTGTATCAGCGATGTTCTTGGAAGAAAATATATATTCCTCATTTACAAAAAAGTGAAGGAGATAATCCGAAAGCGAACTCACTGCAGTTTATTGTTTTACAGAGTCCGAGCACTGAATTTTACTCTGCTGTGAGAAGACTGTTTCTTCATCCTGCTATTCAAGAAGCATCTTTTAATTATCGACCAAAAACGTTCCAATGCATTACCCGGGAGCTTAAATCTCGACGTTGGCGAGTTTTTTTTTTTTTTTGATTTTTGATTTTCGGAGGCGTTTTATAAAATGATTTTTGCGGATTGGCTTTGTACTGCTTCTTTACTATTACAGTGCGTTTAATGCGTGCCCATTTTAAGAGTTTGAATAACTATAGTTGGAAAAGTGAAGTTATTGTAATCTTAAAATTACTGTAATCAAAAATTTTACTTTAATTTTTGCATATTGTTAAATGTTTGTGCAGCATAATTATTATTCCCATGCACCTAGTGGCCAGTACGAGCTTGCATTTTTGTGTCCCCACTGTAGAGTTGGGACGGTGCCAGCGATTTTGCGACTTCATCTTTCATGTGCACCCATACATGAATGTGGATGTACGTGAAATCAGTTTCATGTTTGTTGGTTGCAAACTTGTGAAATTTCTGCATGTACATTGTCCAGTTTTTGGGTTGAATAATATTGTAGTTTCGGACTTTACGTATCCGTATCTGAAATGTGGGAGGAATTTAATGTTGAATTTAGGCATGAAAGCCAACACATTGCGGTGGACCATCGTCAAAAAGAATCGAATTATCCAGTTTATTCGAATTGCGGATTGGGCGGACGCCAATAGTTTCACAATTTCAAACTCCACATACCTGCGCGTGGCACGTAAGCGACCTTTAAAATACATTTTAGATTTCGGGGAATGAACATAATCGCGAACTGGCCACAAATTAAAATCCAGGTGCCAGTTCATTTCTGCATTTTGAAATATTACGATTCTATGCGTAACATAGAGGCGAACGCGAGAAGCAAAGTTACTTTCCTCTCGGAATTCAATCGATTAGCGAACATTTCCACTCATCGAACCTGCAATCTGCTGCGCGAAGACAGTATTACTTTCTGATGCGCCATGCCCTTAGGTAGATTAGATTTAGTACCAGCGACAAGTACAAACTTTTTAAGTCTTCATTTTACCTTATTCGTATACCGTCTTCGACTTAACCATAGATATGTAGATATATTTGGATTATGTATTTAGATTTTGGCACTAAAACAATATCTGTTATTCCGTATGGTCGCAGCTTGGTTTTGAAAAAGTGATTTAGTTGTTTTTCACTTTTTTTTTTCTTTTCATATCCTTAGCTGCATTGCAGACTGTGAAAATGGGGCTACGGAGACAAAATATTACGCTGTTACAGTTAGACAAGGTGAAACTCACTGTAAGCAGTGAATGTCAATAGTACTAGTGTAAAAATTAACTGGTAGCTTCAGAGCTAACTGACCGGTGTAAGGCTTATGCCTGCTTAGGTTTATGGGATATCGGTGATATTTCTACGGCGTATCAAAACCGCTGACGGAGTTTCTGGTTTCCGGTGGTTGCAGTTCGCTTTTTCAGATTCATACGTGGTCTTCTTTAATTCAGTATCTTGCTAAAGGATCACATGGGTTTTATATAGTCGCCACGTGTTTTTGAAGTGAAATAATTATGTTACTATTTTATTGTTGCTTCGATTGTTGACCTGGAATTCGTTTTGAATTCTGGGTTCTTCATTTTTGGAAAAGCTGCTTTCCCAGAGCCTTCCTCGATCATCGCATTCATTTGTTTCGGTCTCTTAATTCTTTCTTTTTTTTTGCTTATTCTCATGTACAATGCATTCGCTAGAAAATTTATTCACGTCCAGCCAAATACTGTCGCATACTGAATCACATCACTCCCACCACTTCCTAAATGGCTTTTGAAAATTAGAAGCCTATGCGTTTTAAATCCCTAAAGAATTACGATTGCTTTTTGCGGTTCTTTGCAGCGAGTGGCATTTTCTTATGGCCACCACTTACGTTTACAAAATGTTCTCCAGCAGAACTTGCACTGTGGCTTTCCTAGTAGATTGTAGTTATCGTTTTCACGATTTCCATCCCCTGCACATTTAATATAGTGTTCTGTTTTGTCATTGGTTACACGCACCCTACAAACTTCCATTCTAACCCACTTTTAGTCACAGCCAGCGTTTTTCTTCTACTTTCGTCAGTGATCATGTGTAGCATCCGTGTATTACTGCTTTTGCGAATTAGTGCACTTTTTCTGATTCGACACTTTGGGGACATCATCGAAGCTATAAATTGTTCACCATTATTTGTCTGACTTCTTTGAATAGCACATTTCCATTGTTCGTTTATCTAATTTTGTGCATACAACACGGAGTGCACAGCAGGGGCTGGCACCACCTTGCGTTTTTGCAATAAATCGTTCGAGGCAGACGCTCCCAGATGTTCGCCGCATTTGCTAATCGCTCTCTGCACAAGTTTGTGCGTAATGCATTTATAGCACCAACATGATTTTACGTGCACCCATATTCTGTTATTGCTTCTGCGGACTTGATTTTTATGCGTTTTTTGCAGCTATGCAATGCAAAAACGCATATTGTTGAGGGGTTGTCTGTGTGT